TCCTTGAAGGGGTGCACACACATGACTTATGCATGCATAATCTATCATTTATTGCACATACATTAATTGTCCCCCTAAAGCATGAACCTTGCTCTGGATATTTTCTCATTGGTCCTGGCTGTTGAGTGAGCCTCAACCAGCAGAGGCATGTCTGGACCTTATGCAGAAAGGGCTTGGGGGTCTCCGTGTGAGGCAGGAGGTGCCACAGTCCACGGGCCGGAGAGGGAGGTCCTGGGGCAGCGTGTCACCAGGCGTCGGCCCCTCAGGGACAGGCAGGCAGCGTGCGGCTGGGGCTCCACCACGTGTGTGCTCCGTCTGGACTCGTAGGTTCTCTGCACCAAGGGCTCCCTGCCTCAGACCGGAGGCAAGCGTCTTGGTGAGTGCTGTTTGCAGGAACCTGGCTGAACCCGAGCAGGACAGACATCTGGGTCCAGAGCTGGAGTGTCCAGACGAGGGAGCTCTCTCCCTTGCTTTGAAGGGAGCCTCCACCTTCTATGCCTTCTTGAGTAAGGGAGTGGGGACCTAGCCCTCCGCCAGGGCAGCCTGCCTCAAATTCCACAGGCCCAGAAGCACAGGACACTGCAAGGTGGGCAGTAGAAATCCCGAAGCCCTCCTCTCGCTCCATCGCAAACACATGCTTTGTATTTGGAGAGGTGGGGTGGAGGGTCCCTGTCATTGTCTTGACACTGCAACTTTTAAAGAGGCAAGAAATATAAAATTTTTCTTTTCTTTTTTTTTTTTCGCAAAACTTGTTGTTCAGTTGCTAATTCATGTCCGACTCTTTGAGACCCCATGGACTGCAGCACGCCAGGCTCCCCATCCTTCGCTGTCTCCCAGAGTTTGCTCAAATTCATATCCATGTGTCAGTGATGCCATCCAACCATCTCATCCTCTGCTGTCCCCTTCTCCTTTTGCCTTCAAACTTAACCAGCAGCAGGATTTTTTCCAACAAGTTAGCAAAACCGCTGAATGCCTCAAATTCTGTTGCTGGGGTCTGACCCAACCTTCCTGGGGTTGCTGAGGGTGACCAAGCCTGAGCAAAGCAAGGACTGTAGACTGAGTTCTCCAGGGCCTCTGCATGGGGCAGGGTGGGAGTAGGGGGGAGTCTTTCTTACTGATCTGCACCTCCCTGCCCACACACTCTAGCCCCCAGCCCCAGCCCCCTGGGCCATCCATCAGGGGGAAGGCTTGGCCTCGTGGAGGGCGTCTGTGCAGTGGGTTCAGAATGCATCCTCCTGGTAAGAAAGGTAGAGCCGCCCAGATTCCTCTCCTGCCCCTCAATGCCAAGATGCCCAGGAATGAGAGTTTGCCGGCAGCAGCTCTAGCCTTAGGACTTGAATGGTGCTTTGATCCGGATCTTGGAACCTTGAGTGTGGGAAGCTTGCGGCTCCTTGGGCCTGGGAACAAGCCCTGACAGCTCCGCTCCAAGCCTCACCTCGGCCTGGCACCCTCCCCTGCTCACTCCCCTGCTGAGCTCTGTGAAGGGGCCACCCTGGAGAAAATTCCCCGGAGAAGGTCCAGACCGCTGAGTGCAAGCTACCTTGTACCTCTGGTCTCCATGCTCCTCAAGATGGTGGACATTTCCAAGAGTTTACAGGGTGGAAGCTCTCCTTATATCTCTCATGTCACTTATTTAAACCAGCCCATGTCTCCTAGTCATTTGTTCACTCACTGGGTTTCCCTGATGTCTCAGACAGTAAAGAATATGCCTGCAATGCAGGAGACATGGGTTCCATCCCTGGGTCGGGAAGATCCCCTGGAGAAGTGAATGACAACCCACTCCAGTATTCTTGCCCAGAGAATCCCATGGACAAAGGAGCCTGGTGGGCTGTGGTCCATAGGGTTCCAAGAGTCTTATATGACTGAGCAACTAACCCTTTCACTTTACTTCCACTTCATCTCACAAATGTGTCCCGTGTCCCTCACTCACCCCAGTGCTGAGCTTCAATCTGGGATGGAGGATTTATCCTTCTGAGGCTCTGGTTCAGTGGATACTCCGAGCCTGATCTAGAAAACACATGAGAAGTGAGGGCTGGAAGACTGAGAAGTTCTAGCCTCTGTAGTTGATAGATGGGAGAGAAAAAGCATCCTTAAGAATGTCATTTTTAAAAGTAATTTTGAAAAGTCTACAAGCAATAAATGTTGGAGAGGGTATGGAGAAAACGGAACCCTCTTACAGTGTTGGTGGGAATGCAAACTAGTACAGCCACTATGGAGAACAGTGTGGAGATT